TGGTGTAGCGTTTAACAACTTAATCTACGCAGACGATATTGTGCTCCTTAGCCCATCGATCAACGGTCTTAGAAAGCTTATAATTATCTGCGAAAATTATGCTCGTCAGCATGTATTAAAATATAATGAGTCTAAGACTGAAATGCTAGTCTTTCGTGCTGGAAAGGATCCGAGGAGAGTATCGCCAGTAAGCATAAATGGTGTGCAGGTTCGGACTGTGAAGAATTTCAGGTACTTGGGTCATATAATGTCGGAGAACCTGAGTGACGACTTGGATATTAAGCGTGAACGTAGAGCTCTAGCTATACGTTGTAACGTGCTGGCGCGTCGCTTTGCCTCGTGTTCTGAGGATGTTAAGATTACTCTGTTTAAAGCTATCTGTATAAAAACTTTGGATAAATTACCCAAAAAACTTTTATATCATCCTCAGAGTACAGTATAATGATGCTTTTCGTATTTTTTTGAAACATCCATGGTACTGAAGTGCGTCCACAATGTTCGCAGAGGCTGCTGTCCCGGACTTTTAGCAGTGTTACGTTGTAGAACGGCCAGTTTCTGGGAATCTGTACGTAACTCAACAATCGAATTAGTTAAGGTCTTTGCTCAGGTGTCTCCTAAAAATATATTTTATAAACACCGGCAGGGTATGCGTCAGACGCTATAGATGATGAAAAATTTTTAAAGTACTATATTTTAACTCATAATAGAGTTTAATTTGTAATTTTGTATGTGTATAATACTTATAATTCATTGTCTTTGATGCAAAATGTACTTAAAATAAGTGGGTTGATACTTTAATAAATAAACTTTATTATTATTATTATAAAGAGTCCCTCTTTCTCCATAAAGTCGGCCAACTGCTGGCCCCTACGGTTCCGTTGCCCCACTCCAAATTTCCCTAACTTCAGCTCACCGCTTTCTCTTGTGACTAGTTTTGCGTTGAAGTCTCCCATCAAGAAGAAGTGTAGTAGATTTTGGAGGAATGCATGGCTCCAGAAATATCCTCATAGACTTCCACCTCCACCACCTCCTCCTCTTCCTTCACTTCCTCATCGGGATGTGCCGAGGTTGGTACGTAAACCTATACGTCCTTCAACGAATACCTTTTGGTGATTCTGAGTATCAAGTACGCAACCCTCGTCGACATACTGCTAATCTTTACAACATTTTTTTATTATATTATTGTTGTTATTAGGAAGATGCTGCTGTCCATCTCCTGACTGTCTCCCTCTGTCGCCTTTAACGACACCCACGGGAAGATATGGGGTAGTGGATATCCTCAACCGCCACTACACGGTATTATTTTTATTATGGATTAGTTATTAATATTGTAATTATTATTTTAAGACTAAAGACTAAATTAAGAGATTTAATCGGTGCTTCCTTAAGTTAATGCTTGTATGTGCAGAGATAATGCACTGAATGTAAATTCAAAGTTGATAAATTTTATGGACAAATTGTAAAGTAAAAAAAGTAAAGTTACAGCCTATATACGTCCCACTGCTGAGCACTGGCCTCCCCTAATTTCTGAGACGGTTTTAGGGCAAGGAAGTGTCCGCCGTGCTGCGTGTTGGTGAACTTCACATGTCTTCAAAATATTTTTTTCTTATGCTTCAGATATGAAGGTTTCCTCACGATGCTTTCCTTCACCGCCAAGCACGTGGTAAATCAGCACTTAAAATTGCAATTAACAATTTCACTGGTGCCGGCGGGGATCAAACCCGGGTTTCTAGAGTTCAGTTATATTGACAGCGAGCGTTAACTATCTGAGCTACCGCGGCTCATCATATAAATTGAATGTACATTGATATTACATATATTGCAATATAAATTTAAATAAATATTCTGAATTTATAAGTAAGAGTCATATGTTGCTGCATGGAATAGACTAAAAATTATTTAAATTATTTAATTAATAGTATTAATTTATTTGAATTAGTAGGACTCCCGAACAAAAAACGGATTTGTCTACAACCTCTATAAAATTAAGGACAAAGTAAATAAAAATAAGAAGCCAAAGTCTCCGTCGAGCTGATAGTTTCTAACCTATATGTCAGAGGGAAGCAGCAAAACACAAAAAAAACAACTAGCTGAGAACTTGTAATTATCAAACAGAATCAATTTTTTGCAGATGTTACGTGCCTGTTACGCAGTGCAATGAGTTCGTGAGGCACACATTGTTTTAATGCCAACATCGAAAGCTACTACGAATTTAGTCGTACTTGAATATCATTAGCCTTTTTATAGAAGAGGGGGCAAACGAGCATGCGGCTCACCTGATGACTACCGCCGCCCATGATCAACTGCAACACCAGGGGAATTGCAGGTGCGTTGCCGGCCCTTTAGAAAGGAGTAAGCTCTTTTCTTGAAGGTCCCCAGGTCGTATCGGTCCGGAAAAATCGCCGGTGGTAAACTATTCCAAACAGAGAGGTTGTACGCGTAAGAAAACTCCTTTTGAAACGTACAGTGGTGGACCGCCAAGCATCCAGATGGTGTGGATGGTATCGAGACGTTTGCCGCGTAGTGCGTTCATGAAATTTGGCGGCTGGGATTAATCCGAACAATTCCTCTGAGCACTCTCCATGGTATGTGCGAAATAAAATGCAAAGAGATGCAATATCTCTTCGCAGTGCCAGTGAATTGAGCCGATCGGAAAGCACTAGATCGTCGACTATTCGAGCCGCTCTGCGCTCGATGCGATCAAGTGGAATTAGCTGGTATTGGGGAGCCCCAGCCCAAAAATGGGAACAGTATTCCATGTGCGGCCAAACCTGCGGCTTATAAAGTTGCAGGCGGTGTGCCGGCATGAAATACTGTCCTGCTCTGCTGAGCACGCCAAGTTTTTAGAGGCCAATTTTGCCTTATCTTCCAAGTGACCACGAAACTGCACGTCACTCGATATGTCGATACCGAGGATTCCGATACTGGCTGAGGCAACAAGGGGAGTACCTTGAAACTGAGGAGATACGACAAAGGGGTTCTTTTTAGCGGTTAACGCGCAAACATGTGTCTATTAGGGGTTAAACTGGACTAGATTTAGTCACCCCCAATCCGAGACTCTGTTCAGCAAAGACTCGACTTCAGACACAAGTTTGTCCCGGCACACGGAGACGTTTTCCCGAGAAATATTGGTTTGGCCGGTGTAAAGAGCATCACCAGTGCTGTCGTCTGCATAGCAATCAATCCTACTAGTTCGCAACATATCATTGATATGCAGAAGAAACAGTGTTGGCGATAGCACGCAGCCTTGTGGAACACCAGCATTAATATGCTTGCGATCGGAGCTTGTACTGTGTACAACGACCTTGACTATAAAAAGATTCTTTTCGGTCACAAAATGGATCACAAAGGGAATTAAAAAATCATGTTGCACAAAAAGAAAATTAATGTCTTAATTTTTTTAAAACAAAACAGGTAGTAGGAAGACACATGTCAGGACATATAGTAAAATCTTAAAATCTTTTATCATTAAAGCAAAAAGCAACACAAACAATAATTTCATCAATAAAGCCAAAAATAAATGTAAAGCTACTTGGAATCTCATCAAAGAGTCATCAAATGATTTACGGAAAAATTAGGACATTACTTCGATTCACAAAAATTGATTAAAGATCCTGGAGAAATAGCAAATATATTTAACAGCTTCTTTACAAATTTACCAAAAAAAACTATGATACAAAATAAAAGTTTTCCCTTAAATTACGTTGATGTTAAAAATAACATTATATTTCTTCAACCCTGCTCTGCAGAAGAAATTAAAAAAAATTATGCAAGGGTTAAATAATACAAGTCAGTGGGTTATGACGGAATCTCCACAAAAATTTTAAAGTCTTGTGCTGATTTGGTGTCTCCAGTTCTTCCTTATATTATTAATATATCGTTTGAATATGGAATCTTTCCAAACAAACTTAAAATTTCTGTGATTAAGCCAATTCATAAAGCGGGAAGCAAAAAAGAAATTAATAATGATAGACCTATTACTCTTATCCCAATATTAGCTAAAGTATTTGAAAAAGCAATGCATACTAGACTGAATAGTTTTCTAAAAAACATAAGATTTTACCGGAAGAACAAAACGGTTTTCAAAAAGAAAAATCAACAACACTAGCTAATTACACACTAACTCAGCACATAACAGAAAACATTGATAAAGGTATGAAAGTTACCGGTGTCTTTTTAGATATGAGTAAAGCATTCGATTTTGTAGACCACGAACTGTTACTAAATAAAATTAAAAAATATGGTATTAGAGAACTTGCATTCCAATGGATACAATCTTATTTAAGTAACAGAACACAATGCGTACAATTACAACCCACTAAAAAAAGGTGTGCCACAAGGTACAACTCTTGGTCCTTTACTTTTTATTTTATATATTAATGACCTTCCATTGCAATCGATCAACGTTGTATTCAATATGCCGACGATATATCAGTTATAATAACGGGTAAAGAAAAGTCATCAGATTATGAACTTAAAGTTAACAATACTGTCACATTTACAATAAATTGGCTCGAAAGTAATAATTTATGTCCCAATCTACTCAAAACTAAATATATTATATTCTGCACTAAGCGGGAAAATATCCCTAAATTAAAGTCGTGAGTCATAATCAAGAGAGTGAAAAGGTTGCTGAAATAAAATTCCTCGGCCTTATTTTATTTAGATCAGCACTGTAGTTGGAAAAGTCATATAAGTTTAATGTGTGATAAATTAGATAAATTCGTTTATGAACTTAAAAGACTAACCAATTTAACAAGTAAAGAAGCTGCTATAAGAGCTTATCATGGACATGTAGCGTCCGTGCTACGGTATGACTTATTGATCTGGGGCAATTTATCGGTTTTTAATAGAGAATTCCTCATCCTAATGAAATGTGTAGGGGCGATTTGTGGATGTGGACCTTTTGAATCTTGTAAACAGTTCTTTAATTCTTATTCTCCAGGCTGGAATAGCACTACTTTGTCCAGGAGCGCGTCCAGCCATGGAAAGTTTGGCGCCTATAATACGGCAGACTGCCAGTGCGGCGCTAAACAGAATTGAGTCCGTCTCGCAAAGGCCCAACTGGCTTCCAAATTAGTCACCAGTATTGGGTTCAGAGCCCTCACGACAGCCCGATTCCGCTTGCTTAGGGCTATGCGGGGAAGTCGCGGTCGATTTTCGAGAGGGGTACTGCGCGTTTCCACAATCGCCTCTTCCAATGTACTCATCATTTGCTCTAGTTCCAGTTCCTGGGCAACTGTTACATCATCGTTTGAATCAACCACAACTGGGGTATTCACGGCGGTATCCACGTTTGCCGTTTGTTCAGCAAGTTGTGGCGCCGCATCCTCAGCCGCAGCATTTTCACCCGATGAAGGAACAGCCTCACGTCTTGGCCGTTCGAGTTCGGTGACATCAAATGTATTTGAGCGCAAGATATACCGAACTCGGTCTGCCAGGTTTTGCTCGGTGACTTTACAGATGGCTCCAGCTCAGAAAAAAGTCGATGATCCTTGCCCGATACCCAAAACCTCCAGTTTCTCCCCTTTCGCCATTAAATACGCCCGCAATGCGTTGCTGTTCATCTGGGTTATCCAATGCATGCGGCGTAATACACCAGTGGCGGGTGCCGATTGCTGGGCCCACGAAGACCCTGCCGACACCAAGCCAAGGGGATGATGGATGCGAGGGGTTGCTGGGTGGTCGTGCAGCACCTCGCGCTCGGCTGGCGGTTCGCATACTGTCGCCTCCAGCGCCACCTCCAGACGTGCCCTAGCGACCTCCGGGCAGCGGCCCTTTGCGCGTTCTATTTAATTCCATCATCCATTTTACAGGGCGCCATTTAACGGGAGATGCCCAGACCCGGCGCCATTTCATGGTGAGGCCATGTGCACAAGCGGGCGTTTGCACCTTCAATTTTTGCCGACGCACGGCACTAACACCTCTTGGCAAGGTGCTGACTGACTACGATGACGTAGCGGTTTTGTCACATAACCGTTACGTCAACGGGCGATGGGGTCGTCACTTCCCTGCGTCTCTTCACATAAACATTACGACAAAGGGCGATGGGGTCGTCACTTCCCTACGCCTCTTCACATAACCGTTACGTCTACGAGCGATGGGGTCGTAACTTCGCTACGCCATTATTATTATTATTGGGGTATCAATATAACTTTCTCATCTGGTTGGGTCCTATAAATATATAATTATAAATGGAAATGAAAAGATAAATATACATAAATGTCAATAAAATTAAATTAATATAAAAATACATAAATAAATAAAAGACCAACCAGATGCAGGCCCTCGGCAGGGAAGACCAAACGGCCGAGGGTTAGGAGGAAAGGGAAAGAAACCGGCGGACGATGCGGGCGGTATCGAGCCTAAAGCGGTCCGCCACGTAGTCCCAGCCACCTCAGATGACCAGAGCCGCTGACTGGGATTAGTCCGTTTGCAGAGACGACTACAGGAATAATTTCGATCGGCAGACCACCCCACATGTCAGTCAACTCGTGAGCAAGGTCCAGATATTTTGTTCGTTTATCTGTTTCGGCTTTCACGAGGTTCTCGTCATACGGAATGGTAATGTCGACCAAAACTATGCTTGACTGCGTCCGGTCCATCAGCACAATATCAGGCTTATTCGCAAGAATAGTCCTGTCTGTGATGATGACTCGGTCCCAATAAAGCCTGGCGTGATCATTTTCGAGCACGGCTTCTGGCAAGTACTTGTAATACGGCAATTTCCGATCCACGAGACCGTATTTCTGAGCAAGCTACTGTTGAAGAATTCTGGCTATTAGGTTGTGTCTGTGCAAGTACTCAGAGTCAGAAAGCGCCGAACAACCGGAAATGAAATGCCTAAGTGACTCACCGGGATGGCGAGAAGCTCGACAGATGTCGACGTTGCCATCCTTTAGGATGTATCTCCGATAGTTGTTGGTCTTAATAACCTGAACTTGTATTGCACAGACAAAACACTCGGTTTCCCTGAGGAGATCACCAAATCGTAGCCAGTGGAGGCTACGCTCATGTAGAGCCTTGTAGAACCTCCCGTGGAGCTCCTTCTCCTTCCATACGGTCTCCCGGTCGGAAATGCTCTGCACTGTCGGGTCTTGGCGACATTGCTCGTTGGCTAAGGATAGAGGGGTAAGTCCTTTATCACAAGAAATGACGTCCTTATAGAATGGATCATCCGATCTCGCCAGGAAGTAATCACGGAGGCTGCACACTTCGCGATTATACATGGTGAGCGCGCTCAGGGAGCCTCGCCCACCATGCTTTCGCGGCAAGTACATTACGGACGATCTCGGATGATGCATCCTATGGGACGTCATGGTAGTGCGGACTTTTCTATCCAGGGTGTTAATTTCAGTCTGAGTCCACCTGAGTATGCCAAAGGAAGACATGAGGAAAGGCATGACCCAGCCGTTATATACGTGTGCCTTATTCACACCGGACAAAAGGCTGTTAAGCACTTTGGTCAAGTATGCATAAAACATGTCGCAAACTGAATGTTTCATATCAGCCAAATTGATACCGATGTTCTGTGACATACTCAGGTATCGGCATGTTTCAGCCTCGGAAAGGGTTCTTAAGTTGACGGGCGTAGATAATTCTATGTCTTCAGACTTAGTAACCCTTCCCCTTTCAACATGGGGGACCGCACACTTATCCGTCCCCAGCTCCATGCCAATGGAATTGCTAAATTCACAAGTGATGTTTAGCAATTCCATAAGATGGGAGCGAATTATTATTATTATTATTGGGGTATCTATATAATTTTCTCACCTGGTTGGGTTCTATGAATATATAATTATAAATTAAAATGAAGAGATAAATATACATAAATATCAATGAAATAAAATAAACACAAAAACTACATTAATAAATAAGATCCAACCAGATGGGAACCCTCGGCAGGAGAGACCAAACGGCCGAGGCTTAGGGGGAAAGGGAAAGAAACCGGCGGACGATGCGGGCGGTATCGAGGAGCACCGCCTTTTGCATTTAAGCCCGGAGCGTTCCGTCACGGAGTCCCAGTCGCCACAGATGACCCGAGAGGCTGACTGGGATTAGCCCATTCGCAGAGACGACTACAGGAATAATTTCGGTCGACACACAACCCCACATGTCGGTCACCTCGTGAGCCAGGTCCAGATATTTTGTTCGTTTCTCTGTTTCGGCTTTCACGAGGTTCTCGTCATACGGAATGGTAATGTCGATCAAAAATATCCTTGACTGTGCCCGGTCCATCAGCAAAATATCAGGCTTATTCGCAAGAATAGTCCTGTCTGCGATGATGGCCCGGTCCCAGTAGAGCTTGGCGCGGTCATTTTCGAGCACGGCTTCTGGCAAGTACTTTTAATACGGCAATTTTCGGTCCACGAGACCGTATTTCAGAGCGAGCTCCTGGTTTCTGGCTACTAGGTTGTGCCAGTGCAAGTACTCAGAGTTAGAAAGCGCCGAACAACCGGAGATGACATGCCTAAGTGACTTCCCGGGATGGCGACAAACTCGACAGACGTCGACGGTGCCATCCTTTAGGATGTATCTCCGATAGTTGTTGGTCTTAATAACCTGATCCTGTATTACACAGACAAAACCCTCGGTTTCCCCGAAGAGGTCACCAAAACGTAGCCAGTTGAGGGAGGGCTGTATCTACGTGAGGCTTATGTAGAGCCCTGTAGTACCTCCCGTGGAGCTCCTTCTCCTTCCATACGGTCTCTCGGTCGGAAATACTCTGTACTGCCGGGTCTTGCCATTGCTCGTTGGCTATGGATAGAGGGGTAAGTCCTTTATCACTAGAAATGACGTCATTATAGAATGGATCATACGATCTCACCAGGAAGTAATTACGGAGGCTGCACACTTCGCGATTTTGCGTGGTGAGCGCGCTCAGGATGCCACGCCCACCATGCTTTTGCGGCAAGTACAGCCTCATTACCGACGATCTCGGATGATGCATCCTATGGGACGTCATGGTAGTGCGGACTTTTCTATCCAGGGCGTTGAGTTCAGTCTGACTCCACCTGAGTATGCCAAAAGTATACATGAGGACAGGCATGACCCAGCCGTTATATGCGTGTGTCTTATTCACACCGGACAAAAGGCTGTTAAGCACTTTGGTCAAGCGTGCATAAAACGCGTCGCAAACTGACTGTTTCGTACCAGCTCATCGATACCGATGTTCTGTGACATACCCAGGTATAGGTATGTTGCAGCCTCGGAAAGGGCCTAGTTGACGAGCATAGATAAGTCTATGCCCTCAGAGTTAGCTACCCTTCCTTTACAGGCAGCACACTTATCCGTCCCCAGCTCCATTCTAATATAATTGCTAAATTCACAAGTGATGTTTAGCAATTCCATAAGATGGGAGCGACTGGAGGCGAATAACTTGAGGTTATCCATATAGAAAAGGTGGGTTACTTTTGTACCTCCTTTCCTAAGCTGAAATCCCCTACCGGAACCCTCCAGTAAAGTACTGAGAGGGTTCCAAGAGAGGCAGAACCAGATTGGACTCAGTCAGTCCCCTGGAATATACCACTTCTTATTCTTATGCGGCTTTCCGAAGCCGTCATCCGCTCGCCTAGATGACAGAGGATCGTACTCCACTGCCCGATACACTGCTCGAGGAAGTCTCGAACTGTAACGTCAATCTTGTACAGCTCGAGGACCCTCTTTAGCCATGTATGGGGCACCGAGTCAAATGCCTTTCTGTAGTCTATCCAGGCGGCGGAGAAGTTCCGTTGGTTGCGTTTCACCATTTTGCCAATGACCGCGTCAATGAGGAGTGGTTCCTTTGTTCCACAACCGCCGCCCCGACATCCATTTTGAGCGCGCGATATCACCTGATTTGATTCCAGGTGACGAGCGATTCTCGCGCTCAAAATGGATGTTAGTGTCTTGTATATGGTCGGTAGACACGCGATGGGGCGGTATTTGCTCGGGTCTGTGGCAACTCTGATCTTTAGGAACCATATGCGTGATCCCAGTAGTGAAGAGGCTTGGGAGTGACCTCTGGTTGAGAGCCTCTTGGAACTGTCGGGCGAGCACAGCGTGAAACACCATGAATTCCTTCAGCAAGTAGTGATGCAGCCCGTCAAGCCCCGGTCTTTTCCAGTTTGGAGCCCTGCGGACCGCCTCAGCTACGTCATCCGGCGTTATTGTAACGGGGACGGGCGTAATACCCGCACACTGACTCGCCACAACTTCCTTCCAAGGGCTCTTGTTGTGGTTTACGGGCTCTGACCACAGGCTGCGCCAGAATGCGACAGTGTTGGCCTGATTTGGTGCTGGACCCCTTCCACTTACTATTGGTCGCTCCAATGATTTGTAGTGCCTATTCTGATCACTCTGGAAGAGACGATTCTGGTTGAACCGTGTCGACCTCTCGGTATATCGCCGAATCCGATTTCCCCAAGGAGCGATTCTTTGCTCTGGCTTCCAAGTAGGTAACCAGCATTGAATTCAGAGCCCTCACGACATCCCGATTCCGCTTGCTTAGGGCTAAGCGGGGAAGTCGAAGTCGATTTTCGAGAGGCGTAATGCGCTTTTCCACAATCGCCTCCTCCAATGTACTCCTCATTTGCTCTATTTCCAGTTCCTGGGCGACTGTTCCGTCATCGTTTTAATCAACCACAACTGGCGTATTCACGGCGGCATCCACGTTTGCTGTTTGCTCAGCAAGTTGTGGCGCCGCATCCTCAGCCGCAGCATTTTCACCCGATGAAGGAACAGCCTGTCACGTCGTAGCCGTTCGAGTTCGGTGACATCAAATGTATTTGAGCGCAAGATATACCGAACTCGGTCTGCCAGGTTTTGCTCGGTGACGGTTAGATGGCTCCAGCTCAGTAAAAAGTCGATGCATCCTTGCCCGATACGCAAAACTTCCAGTTTCTCCCCCTTTCGCCCAAAAATACGCCCCCAATGCGTTGCTATTCATTTCGGTTGTCCATCGCATGCGGCGTACTCCACCAGTGGCGGGTGCCGATTGCTGGGCCCGCGAAGACCCTGCCGACACCAAGCCAGATGGTGTGGATGATGGATGCGAGGGGCTGATGGGTGGTCGTGCAGCACCTCTCGCTCGGCTGGCGGTTCGCATGCTGTCGCGTCCAGCGCCAGCTCCAGACGCGCCCTGGCGACCTCCAGGCAGCGGCCTTTTGCGCGTTATTCCGTATTCCATCATCCATAGTGGTGGGCGTCATTTAGTGGGAGACGCCCAGACCCGGCGCCGTTTAATGGTGGGGCCATGTGCACAAGCGGCCTTGCGCCTTAATTTCCCCGGCACTACTGGGGTTGATGTGATTATTATTATGTTTGGGGTATCTATATAGTTTTCTCATCTGGTTGGTTTGTATAAATATATAATTATAAACGAAAATGAAAAGATAAATATACATAAATATCAATAAAATAAAATAAATACAAAAAATACACAAATAAATAAAGGCCCAACCAGATGGAAGCCCTCGGCAGGGGAGACCAAACGGCCGAGGGTTAGGGAGAAAGGGAAAGAAACCGGCGGACGGTGCGGGCGGTATCGAGGACCACTGCCTTCTGCATTTGAGCCCGGAGCGGTCCGTCACGGAGTTCCAGTCGCCACAGATGACCCGAGAGGCTGACTGGGATTAGCCCATTCGCAGAGACGACTACAGGAATAATTTCGGCCGGCCGACCACCCCACATGTCGGTCACCTCGTAAGCCAGGTCCAGATATTTTGTTCGCTTATCTGTTTCGGCTTTCACGAGGTTCTCGTCATACGGGATGGTAATGTCGACCAAAAATATCCTTGACTGTGCCCGGTCCATCAGCACAATATCAGGCTTATTTGCAAGAATAGTCCTGTCGGAAATGCTTTGTACTTCCCGACCGGGTCTTGCCATTGCTCGTTGGCTAAGGATAGAGGGGTAAGTCCTTTATCACTGGAAATGACGTCATTATAGAATGGATCATCCGATCTCGCCAGGAAGTAATTACGGAGGCTGCACACTTCGCGATTATGCATGGTGAGCGCGCTCAGGAAACCACGCCACCATGCTTTCGCGGCAAGTACAGCCTCATTACCGACGATCTCGGATAATGCATCCTATGGGACGTCATGGTAGTGCGGACTTTTCTATCCAGGGCGTTAAGCTCGGTCTGAGTCCACCTGAGTATGCCAAAGGTATACATGAGGACAGGCATGACCCAGCCGTTATATGCGTGTGTCTTATTCACTCCGGACAAATGGCTGTTAAGCACTTTGGTCAAGCGTGCATAAAACGTGTCGCAAACTGACTGTTTCGTGACACTATGTTCTGTGATGTTCTGTGACATACCCAGGTATCGGTATGTTTCAGCCTCGGAAAGGGTCCTTAAGTTGACGGGCATAGATAATTCTATGTCCTTAGAGTTAGCTACCCTCACATGGCCGCACACTTATCCGCCCCAGCTCCATTCCAATGGAATTGCTAAATTCACAAGTGATGTTTAGCAGTTCCATAAGATGGGAGCGACTGGAGGCGAATAATTTGAGGTCATCCATATAGAAAAGGTGGGTCACTTTTGTCCCTCCTTCCGAAGCTGAAATCCCCTCCCGAAACCCTCCAGTAAGGTACTGAGAGGGTTCAAAGAGAGGCAGAACCAGATTGGACTCAGACAGTCGCCCTGGAATATACCCCTTCTTATCCTTATGCGGCTTTCCGCAGCCGTCATCCGCTCGCCTAGATGACAGAGGATCGTACTCCACTGCCCCATACACTGCTCGAGGAAGTCTCTAACTGTACAGTCAATCTTGTACAGCTCGAGGACCCTCTTTAGCCATGTATGGGGCACCGAGTCAAATGCCTTTCTGTAGTCTATCCAGGCGGCGGAGAAGTTCCCACGGTTGCGTTTCACCACTTTGCCAATGACCGCGTCAATGAGGAGTGGTTCCTTTGTTCCACAACCGCCGCCCCGACATCCATTTTGAGCGCGCGACATCACCTGATTTGATTCCAGGTGACGAGTGATTCTCGCGCTCAAAATGGATGTCAGTGTCTTGTATATGGTCGGCAGACACGCGATGGGGCGGTATTTGCTCGGGTCTGTGGTATCCTTGTCTTTAGGAACCAAGTGCGTGATCCCAGTAGTGAAGAGGCTCGGGAGCGACTTCTGGTCGAGAGCCTCTTGGAACTGTCGGGCGAGCACAGTGTGACACACCACGAACCCCTTCAGCAAGTAATGATGCAGCCCGTCGAGTCCCGGACTTTTCCAGTTCGGGGCCCTACGGACCGCCTCAGCTACGTCTTCCGGCGTTATGGTGACGGGGTCCATGGGCGTAACACTCGCACCCTGGCTTGCCACAACTTCCTTCCAAGGGCCCTTGCTGTGGTTTGTGGGCTCTGACCACAGGCCACGACAGAATGCTACAGTGTCGGCCTGATTCGTAGTCTGGACCCGTTCCACTTACCATTGGTCGCTCCAACGATTTATAGAGCCTCTTCTGATCACTCTGGAAGAGACGATTCTGGTTGAACCGTGTCGACCCCTCGGTATATCGCCGAATCCGCTTTCCCCAAGCAGCGATTCTCTGCTTCAGGTCGTCTATGCGCTCCGTTAGTTTCTGCGTTATATCCGCCTGGGACAAACTGACATTTGTCCCAGCAAATTCCATCCTGACCGTGCGCACAATCCTTGGCCTGTTGTTGCCTGACCTGAAGCATGTCAGTCTGCCGATGAGGGCCCTTGCCTTTGCGATACGTTCTTCGATTCTTATTCTCCAGGCTGGGATAGCGTTACTTTGTCCAGTAGCGCGTCAAGCCATGGAAAGTTTGGCGCCTATAATACGGCAAACTGCCACTGCGGCGCCAAAAAGAATCCAACCCATCTCGCAAAGGTCTCGGTTGGCTTCCAAATAGGTCACCAGCATTGGGTTCAGAGCCCTCACGACAGCCCGATTTCGCTTGCTTAGGGGTATGCGAGGAAGTCGCGGTTGATTTTCGAGAGGGGTGCTGCGCGTTTCCATAATCGCCTCTTCCAATGTACTCCTCATTTGCTCTAGTTCGTGGGAGACTATTCCATCGTCGTTTGAATCAACCACAACTGGGGTATCCACGGCGGCTTTCACGTTTGCGGGGTGCCTCTGTCAATTTGTGGAGCCGCATCTCCAGCCGTAGCATTTTCATTCGACGGAGAACAGTTTCACGTCGTAGTCGTTCGAGTTCGGCGACATCAAATATTTTCGAGCGCATGATGTACCGAACTCGGTCTGCCAGGTTTTGCTCTGAGGGGACGGCTCGAGCTCAGCAAAAAAGCGATGCATCCAGCCCTATACGCCATACCTCAACGTTTCTCCCCCTTTCGCCCTATAATACGCTCGCAATGCGTTACGTTTCATCGGTTGTCCATCGCATGCGACGTGCTCCACCAGCGGCGGGTGCCGCTTGCTGGGCCCGCGAAGACCCAGCCGACACCAAGTTCGTGGTGGGGATGATGGATGCGAGGGGCTGCTGGGTGGTCGTGCAGCTCCTCTCGCTCGGCTGGCGGTTCGCATGCTGTCGCGTCCAGCGCCAGCTCCAGACGCGCCCTGGCGACCCCCAGGCAGCGGCCCTTTGCGCGTTCCTTTTTGTGCATCTTCCATCATCCATTAAAAGTGGGCGCCATTTAACGGGAGACGCCCAGACCCGGCGCCGTTTAATGGTGGGGCCATGTGCACAAGCGGGCCTTTGCGTCTTTAATTTTTGCCGAGGCACGGCGCTAACACCTCTTGGCAGGATGCTGACTGACTGCGCTGACGTCGTGATTTTGTCACATAACCGTTACGTCAGCGGGCGATGGGGTCGTCACTTCTACGTTTTTTTTATATTATCACTATTATTATTATTGGTATATAGTTTTCTCATCTGGTTGGGTGCTATAAATATATAATTATAAATGAAAATGAAAAGATAAATATACATAAATATCAATAACATAAAATAAATATAAAAGTACATAAATAAATAAAAGCCCAACCAGATGGAGGCCCTCGGCAGGGGAGACCAAACGGCCGAGGGTTAGGGGGAAAGGGAAAGAAACCGGCGGACGATGCGGGCGGTATCGAGGAGCACCGCCTTCTGCATTTGAACCTGGAGCGGTCCGCCACGTAGTCCCAGCCGCCTCAGATGACCCGAGAGGCTGACTGGGATTAGCCCGTTTGCAGAGACGACTACAGGAATAATTTCGGTCGGCAGACCACCCCACATGTCGGTCACCTCGTGAGCCAGGTCCAGATATTTTGTTTGCTTGTCTGTTTCGGCTTTCACGAGGTTCCCGTCATACGGAATGGTAATGTCGACCAAAAATATCCTTGACTGTGCCCGGTCCATCAGCACAATATCAGGCTTATTCGCAAGAATAGTCCTGTCTGTGATGATGGCCCGGTCCCAATAGAGCCTGGCGCGATCATTTTCGAGCACGGCTTCCGGCAAGTACTTGTAGTACGGCAATTTCCGGTCCACGAGACCGTATTTCGAAGCGAGCTCCTGGTGTAGAATTCTGGCTACTAGGTTGTGCCTGTGCAAGTACTCAGAGTTAGAAAGCGCCGAACAACCGGAGATAACATGCCTAAGTGACTCACCGGGATGGCGACAAGCTCGACAGATGTCGACGGTGCCATCCTTTAGGATGTATCTCCGATAGTTGTTGGTCTTAATAACCTGATCCTGTATTGCACAGACAAAACCCTCGGTTTCCCCGAAGAGATCACCAAAGCGTAGCCAGTGGAGGGAGGCTACTGTGTCTACGAAAGGCTCATGTAGAGCCTTGTAGAACCTCCCGTGGAGCTCCTTCTCCTTCCATACGGTCTCTCGGTCGGAAATGCTCTGCACTGCCGGGTCTTGCCATTGCTCGTTGGCTAAGGATAGAGGGGTAAGTCCTTTATCACAAGAAATGACGTCCTTATAGAGTGGATCATCCGATCTCGCCAGGAAGTAATCACGGAGGCTGCACACTTCGCGATTATGCATGGTGAGCGCGCTCAAGAAGCCACGACCACCATGCTTCCGCGACAAGTACAGCCTCATTACCGACGATCTCGGATGATGCATCCTATGGGACGTCATGGTAGTGCGGACTTTTCTATCCAGGGCGTTAAGTTCAGTCTGAGTCCACCTGAGTATGCCAAAGGTATACATGAGGACAGGCATGACCCAGCCGTTATATGCGTGTGCCTTATTCACACCGGACAAAAGGCTGTTAAGCACTTTGGTCAAGCGTGCATAAAACACGTCGCAAACTGACTGTTTCATACCAGCCTCATCGATACCGATGTTCTGTGACATACCCAGGTATCGGTATGTTTCAGCCTCGGAAAGGGTCCTTAAGTTGACGGGCATAGATAAGTCTACGCCCTCAGAGTTAGCAACCCTTCCCCTTTCAACATGGAGGACCGCACACTTATCCGTCCCCAGCTCCATTCCAATGGAATTGCTAAATTCACAAGTGATGTTTAGCAATTCCATAAGATGGGAGCGACTGGAGGCGAATAACTTGAGGTCATCCATATAGAAAAGGTGGGTCACTTTTGTCCCTCCTCTCCGTAGCTGAAATCCCCTCCCGGAGCCCTCCAGTAAGGTACTGAGAGGGTTCAGAGAGAGGCAGAACCAGATTGGACTCAGACAATCGCCCTGGAAGATACCCCTTCTTATCCTTATGTGGTTCTCCGCAGCCATCATCCGCTCGCCCAGATGACAAAGGATCGTACTCCACTGCCCCATACACTGCTCGAGGAAGTCTCTAACTGTACAGTCTATCTTGTACAGCTCGAGGACTCTCTTTAGCCATGTATGGGGCACCGAGTCGAATGCCTTTCTGTAGTCTATCCAGGCGGCGGAGGTGTTCCGACGGTTGCGTTTCACCACTTTGCCAATGACCGCGTCAATGAGGAGTGGTTCCTTGGTTCCACGACCACCGCCCCGACATCCATTTTGAGCGCGCGACATCACCTGATTTGAGTCCAGGTGACAAGTGATTCTCGCGCTCAAAATGGATGTTAGTGTCTTGTATATGGTCGGTAGACACGTGATGGGGCGGTATTTGCTCGGGTCTGTGGTACCCTGTAGGAACCAAATGATTGATCCCAGTAGTGAAGAGGCTTGGGAGCGACTTCTGGTTGAGAGCCTCTTGAAACTGTCGGGCGAGCACAGAGTGACACACCATGAACCCCTTCAGCCAGTAGTGATGCAGCCCGTCAAGCCCCGGACTTTTCCAGTTCGGGGCCCTACGGACCGCCTCAGCTACGTCATCCGGCGTTATGATGACGGGGTCCATGGGCGTAATACCCGCACACTGACTCGCCACAACTTCCGTCCAAAGGCCCTCGCTGTGGTTTACGGGCTCTGACCACAGGCCGCGCCAGAATGCTACAGTGTCGGCCTGATTCGGTGCTGGACCCGTTCCACTTACCATTGGTCGCTCCAATGATTCATAGAGCCTCTTCTGATCACTCTGGAAGAGACGATTCTGGTTGAACCGTGTCGACCTCTCGGTATATCGCCGAATCCGTTTTCCCCAAGCAGCGATTCTCTGCTTCAGATCATCTATGCGCTCCGTCAGTTTTTGCGTTATATCCGGCTGGGACAAACTGACATTTGTCCCAGCAAACGCCATCCTGACGGTGCGCACAATTCTTGGCCTGTTGTTGCCTGATCTGAAGCATATCAGTCTGCCGATGAGAGCTCTAGCCTTTGCGATACGTTCCTCAATTCTTCTTCTCCATGCTGGGATAGCGCTACTATGGCCAGTAGCGCGTCCAGCCGTGGAAACCTTGGCGCCTATGATACGGCAGACTGCCAGCGCGGCGCCAAAAAGAATTGAGTCCGTCTCGCAAAGGTCCCGGCTGGCTTCCAAATAGGTCACCAGCATTGGGTTCAGAGCCCTCACGACAGCCCGATTCCGCTTGCTTAGGGCTATGCGGGGAAGTCGCGGTCGATTTTCGAGAGGCGTACTGCGCGTTTCCACAATCGCCTCTTCCAATGTACTCCTCATATGCTCTAATTCCAGTTCCTGGGCGACTGTTCCATCATCGTTTGAATCAACCACAACTGGGGTATTCACGGCGGCATCCACGTTTGCGGGTTGCTCTACCATTTGTGGCGCCGCATCCTCAGCCGTAGCATTCTCATCCGACGAGGGAACAGCCTCACGTCGTAGCCGTTCGAGTTCGGCGACATCAAATATATTTGAGCGCAAGATATACCGAACTCGGTCTGCCAGGTTTTGCTCTGTGACGATTAAAGATGGCTCCAGCTCAGCAAAAAGACGATGCATCCTAGCCCGATACGCCAAACATCCAGTTTCTCCCCCTTTTGCCCCAAAGTACGCCCGCAGTGCGTTGTGCATTCATTTGGGTTGTGACCAACGCATGCGACGTACTCCACCAGAGGCGGGTGCCGCTTGCTGGGCCCGAGAAGACCCTGCCGACACCAAGCCTACTGGTGGGGATGATGGATGCGAAGGGCTGGTAGATGGCCGTGCAGCACCTCGCGCTCGGCTGGCGGTTCGCATGCTGCCACGTCCAGCGCCAGCTCCAGACGCGCCCTGGCGACCCCCAGGCACCGGCCCTTTGCGCGCTTCTTTATATCCATCATCCATATTGGGCGTCTCCCTAACGGGATGACGCCCAGGCCCGGCGCCGTTTCTGGTGAGGCCATGTGCACAAACGGGCCTCTGCACCTTCAATTTTTGCCGCGGCACGGCGCTAACACCTCTTGGCAAGGCGCTGACTGACTGCGTTGACGTAGCGGTTTTGTCACATAACTGTTACGGCAGCGGGCGATGGGGTCTTCACTTCCCTACGCCTTATATATTATTATTATTATCACTTTATTATTATTTTATTATTATTTTTGGGGTATCTATATAATTTTCTCATCTGGTTGGGTTCTATAAATATATGATTTTAAGTTAAAATGTAAAGATAAATATACATTAATATCAATAAAATAATATAAATACAAAAGTACATAAATAAATAAGATCAACCAGATGAAAGACCTCGGCAAGGGAGACCAAATGGCCGAGGGTTAGGGGGAAAGGGAAAGAAACCTAATATTATTTTTATTATTATTATTATTGATGCTCCGATCTGCAAGAAAGCTGGTGATCCAATCGCACAATTTCTCGGGAAGCCCATAGGAAGGGATCTTCGGAAGAAGCGCTTTGTGCCAAACCTGATCGAAGGCCTTCGCAATGTCTAAACTAACGGCCAATGCCTCCCCCTTGGACTCTACTGCCTCCGCTCATCTGTGAGTTAGGTAGACCAGAAGATCACCAGCTGACCGACTACGGCGAAAACCATATTGGCGGTCACTAATCAGCTGGTGATCCTCAAGGTACCTCATGAGCTGGCAGTTTACAATAGACTCCACAATCGCTTACACAATATTACAGCTTACACAATAGCTTTTAATTCATTATTGTCAATTAAAGTTTTCGGATGACCAAGGAGTTCATTTTTTAGGTCGAAATCCGAAGCAGGAAAAAATAACAGGTGATGCGTTCGTTTGAAGTATACATTCTGTAAACGTCGTTGATGTTGCGTGCCTCTTGTGCCGTGTTATAGCCACGACGATACTCATATTCCACTTCTCTCAATTTTTACTCATAATATAGTTTAATTTGTAATAACTAGATTAAAATTCGATGAAAACATAACGATAATTAGTAAAAAATTACTAATTTTGAAAAAGAATTCCATGATTTTAAAGTAAAACTATTTTGAAATTAGAATTCTTAGCTAAACAAAAATTATTTTGATTTAAAATGGCCAGTACTGGAGAACGGTCATTTTATTGGTGAAGACCGATTATAAAACTATAATAAGATCACTCAATATATTTTAGTAGTTAAATTCACAGAGTTTAATAAACATAATTATATATAAATATCCAACGTAAAATTTAGTAAACATAAATTTTCATTTGGAGCGTGTTCATCGAAAGTTTACAAAATCAGTAACAAATGCATTAAAATCTGTTTTAATGCATATTACGAAATTTTACAAGTGATAAAATTAAAAAAAAAAGTTGTCTAACTAACTATAACACGACCGTATCTGGGGGCACGGCAGTGCCCCCGCCCAGTCCAGCAAAAAAGCGGCACGGCCGTACCATCTTTTCTCGAAGCAATTCAGGTCATTTTCGACCCCCTATAACTTCGTGGTCGATAAAACTAGAAGCCTGAATTTTCAGTAACCGAGTAAGCATTGTATAGACATGGTATATTTCAAATTTCATTCAATTTGAACCAGTAGTTTAAGAATTGTAACCAGTCAAAGTTTCTTAATTTTGTCACTCACTGACTGATCGATCATCAAAACTCTGAGGCACTTCTAGCAGATATAGAAGCTTAAAATTTAGAATACAATTAGTGTTTAGTATATAAATGAAGGAAAAACTAAAACATTTGTTAATTTCTGTCCAGTTTTCTAAATACACTAACTGCATAAATAACTTTGTAATCCCATATAAATATATAGAATTACAAAGTTACATTTGCAGTGAATGAACCAGTGTACTTGTATATGTATTACAGGTGTACATAGGGACGTCGTTGGTACTCAAGAAGTAGAAGGTACTAGAAAGGTAAAAAATTAGGACTATCTTATATACAAAAAGAAATGAGATGCCATTAAAAACATAACTTGTAAAAAAACCAAGTCTCGCAACTCAGTTCTTCTACCGTAAAAAGCTGTGAGATCCATGTAATACCAAGTCGGTTAATTTATTCAGTTCCTACTTGAGGGTCCTTCTGTTTTAAGTTATTACGTAATTAGCTAACCTAACAACATTTTATAGTGACCATATCAATTTCAAAAGTCTTTTATGTTTCAAATATATAGATTTGACTTGGCAATCGCATTAAGCAATCTAATTTAATACAATACGTATTACTTGTGAGATACATTGTGGTTTCATGCAACAAAAATATTTTATTATATAATATGACTTAAACTTTGTATACAACAAGTTGGAACAATAATGTTATTATTGCTAAATACATTGAATGTTTACGTGTGGTTAGGTTATATAAATTACAAAACAAACTTTCTGCATTTTTGTCCCGCAAATTCCTTTATTACGATGTTCGGGCGATAACGTGGGTGTAACCTGCAATTCACTGTGTCATCCACCGACAACACCTGGTAGCGAAAAATTTATCTGATAGATTGCACCAATCGCTTTAATATATGCTTAAAGCAGTTAACAAAATAAGAAATAATATGTTGATCAACCGTTTATTTGTACAGTTTTGTGACAAAATGATGAAGTCTACTAATTATTGCTGTCGAAAGGTGCATGTTCAACAAGATTTTACTGACTTTAAATCATTATTAGAGTTTCTGGTTAGTAAAGATCCAGATTTAAAAGAAAACCTGATCAAATTAAAAGCAGACACGCGTATTTGACGGATTAAAAAAATTAATGTCATTAACATGTAGATACAAGGAGACAGCCTAAATTTAATAAAAACAAAAAATTTATTTTCGGCTTTTCTTGTGAAATTGAAATTTATGAAGCAAAACTTAAATCGGTGTGAAAAGGATATTCAGACATACTTTCAACATTTAATTACATTTCAATTATGACAAACTAGAACCTTTAACAACGCTCTGCGTAAACTTAATAAAATTATGTTATATTATTGAGTGTGAATTTTCAATTGATATCACAATTCAATCGTTCTAATGGTCTAAGGAGCAAATGGAAACACAAAAGCATTTGTTTATTCTAATCTGCTCAAAGCCGATTTACATTTGTTCGATATATCAGCAATTAATTAAGCATAGAACTTCAGAAAAGAGACTATAGAATAGAATATTTTTATTCGACATAAATTATTACTTTTAAATTTATTGAAACTCATTTTTGCCACTTCTCATTATTGGCAAGAACCAATAAGAAACCTTGCGGGATTATTCTACTAGAGGAGGCAGAATTAATGTACTCTAGACTGAATTTTCGTCACGGCAACCAGACTCATTGGAGCTGGCCATTTGGGTAAGACTGAGTGTATGCGCATCGAAGTCTATGTGCACAGTCTATACCCTCACTCCCTTAATGAGCAAATTTATTTTTTAACATTCTTATTTTATTTTTTAATTTTAAAACAAAAATGCTTATGTGTGCACTACTTAAGTGCACCGTGGCTTGTAATTTGAATACTTACAAGAGCCACTCTTGAACGTGACCTCGCAAAATGCTAACCATATTAGCTCTTCACAACACGTTTAATATAAACTGAAGAGTGTGATATTTTTCACGTGAATATTTAGTATTGCGATGACACAAATTACAAGGTGTTACAATTATTTTCGTTCTTTTAAACATACAATTAAGTTTTTACTGTCTTTCTCTTTCAGACGTAGAATAATAAGTACACTTGATACGTAATTAAAGACATATAATAACATTGGATTAAATTACATATCCGAAAATTTACTAAAATATATTTTATTTTATTAAATATACAAAAAAACAACACTATCATTCATAAAAAAATAATCACCTTTATACAAGATTGACGATCTGTTTTCTTCATCAACAAAATCAATTAGGTAATAAATGACAGTAATTCTTTTTTTTTTATAGAAGAAGGGGCAAACGAGCATGCGGGTCACCTGATGTTAAGTGACTACCGCCGCCCATGATCAACCGCAACACCAGGAGAATTGCGGGTGCGTTGCCGGCCCTTTAGAAAGGAGTAAGCTCTTTTCTTGAAGGTCCCCAGGTCGTATCGGTCCGGAAAAATCGCCGGTGGTAAACTATTCCACAGAGAGGTTGTACGTGGAAGAAAACTCCTTGTTAAACATACAGTGGAGGACCGCCAAGCATCCAGATGGTGTGGATGGTATCGGGACGTTTGACGTGTAGTGCGTTCACGAAATTTGGCGGCTGGGATTAATCCGAACAATTCCTCAGAGCACTCCCCCGTGATAAATGCGATAAAATACGCAAAGAGATGCAACATCTCTTCGCAGCGCCAGTGAATCGAGCCGATCGGAAAGCACTGGGTCGTCGACGATTTGAGCCGCTCTGCGCTGGATGCGGTCAAGTGGAAGAAGCTGGTACTGGGGAGCCCCAGCCCAGAGATGGGAACAGTATTCCATGTGCGGCCGAACCTGCGCCTTATAAAGTTGCAGGCGGTGTGCCGGCATGAAATACTGTCCCGCTCTGCTGAGCACGCCAAGCTTTTTAGAGGCCAATTTGGCCTTCCCTTCCAAGTGACCACGAAACTGCACGTCACTCGATATGTCGACGCCGAGCATT